TTTCATCATGATGGAGAGTGACATAGTTGATTCTGAGACCAGGGTCCTGAATCTAAATAGAGGAAACTGTTATGGTATGAATGGGAGTTGTCTATCATAGATTGGGGAATGTTACTTAGAGATGCAGAAGAAAGGCAATGGCAAATATTTGAAGAACACAGGTGAACTGCAGGAATAGTTCATTCATGTTTGATGCATAAATGAAACAAAAAGGTGGCCAAACCATAGCTAATAAGGGAAATTAGAGTATTAGATCCAACGAAGAGGCATGAAAATTGGCCAGAGAAAACAGCAAACCTGAGGAGTGGGAGCCAAAAGAAGTCAAGGGGATTGATTTGAGAAAGTGAAAATAGAGCATGAGAGTAAGATGTGGAGAACATAAAAACTAACGGTAAAGGTTTCTCTAGGTATGTGAACAGAAAAAGATTGGTGAAAACAAGTGTTGGTCCATTACAGACAGAAACAGGGAAATTATAATGGGACGGCATGGTGGCTCAGTGGTTAGCACTGCTGCCTCACAGTGCCAGGGACCCAGTTTCAATACCACTCTCGGGTGACTGCCTGTGTGGAGTTTGCACATTCTCCCCGTGTCTGCGTGGGTTTCCTCCGGGTGCTCCGGTTTCCTCCCACAATCTAAAGATGTGCAGGTTGGGTAGACTGGCCATGCTAAATTGCCCATAGTGTTCAGGGATGTGTAGCTTAGGTGGGTTATAGCGGGGATGGGTCTGGGGGGATGCTCCAAGGGTCGGTGTGGACTTGTTGGGCCAAATGGCCTGTTTCCATACTGTGTAAGAATTCTGTAAATAAAAAAAACAGCAGAAATGTTGGGGAATACACAGTTTAATGACCATGAGGAACTGAAGGAAATCTGTATTAGTGAGAAAATAGAGTTTGGGAAGTTGATGGGATTGAAGGCTGATAAATCTCCAGGCTTTATAATCTGCATCCCAGAGTACTTAAGGAAGTGGCCCTAGAAATAGTGGATGCTTTAGTGGTCATCTTACAAGATTCTACAGAAGCAAGAACAGATTGGAGTGAAGCTAATGTTAAAGCCTGATGTTGGTAATGGTGAAAATGCTAAGGTCCATTAAAGAATGTTTAATAGCAGAGCATTTGGAAAACTGTGGCAGGATTGGACTATCAGCATGGATTTAAGAAAATATAAATTATGCTTGACAGATCTACTGGAATTCTTCAAGGATACGACTCGAGTTGAAGAAGGTGAACGAGTGTGTGTGGTTTATTTGGATTTTCAGAAGGTTTTCAACAAAAGTCCTACATCAAGGAGTAGCATGTAACATTAAAGTACATAGGACTGTGGATAGTATATTGAGATGAATTGAGAACTGGTCGGCAGACAGAAAACCGAGTAGGAATAATGGGTCTTTTCCTGAATGTCAGGCAGCGATTAGTGCGATACTACAGGGATCAGTGCTAGGACCCCCAGCTATTCACAGTATATATTAATAATTTAGGTGAAGGAACTAAATGTAATATCTCCACATTTGCAGATGACAAAGTTGGATGGGAAGCTGAGCTGTGAGGAGGATGCAGAGGTGCTTCAGTGTGATTTGGACAAGCAGAAAGGGTGGGCAAATGCATGTTAGATGAATTATAATGTGGATAAAGGTCAAGTTATCCACTTTGATAGCAAAAGCAGGAAGATAGATGGTATTTTGGGCTTCAAAGTGAAACGGTTTGAGTACAGGAGCAGGGATGTGTTGCTGCACATGTATAGTATGTTGGTGAAACCACTCCTGGAGTAATGTGTACGGTCCTGGTCTCTTCATCTGAGAAGGGATATTCTTGCTATAAAGGGAGTGCAGTCCTGGGATGGTGGGGTTGACAAATGTGGAGAGGCTGACTCAGTTATGATTATATTCACTTCAGTTCAGAAGATTGTGGATCTCATAGAAATCTATTCTAATGAGAAATTCCACCAAGACGAGACATGATAAATGCTGGAAGGATGTTCTCGATGGTGGGGAGTGCAGAACCAGAGGTTACAGTCTAAATATAAATATTTAGAACAGAGATGAGGAGAAATATCTTCATGTAGAGAGTGGTGAGCTAATGGAATTCACATACCACAGAAAGTGGTCTAGTCAAAACGTGTAATTTCAAGAGCCCATTAGTTATAGCACTTGGGGCTAAAGGGATCAAAGGATATGGGGAAAAAGCGGGAACAGGCTATTGTATTGAATGATCAGGTGTGGTCATATTGAGTAGTGGAACAGACTCGAAGGACTGAATGGCATACTCCTGTTCTTATTTTCTATGTAATTTAAATAGGGTAACGGACGTAATTTGTTCCAAGTTGCTTCCATCCATGTCTTGAGGCTACTGACTTACTGACCTGAAATTATGTACTTCATCTCACAGATAGGGGGCAGCTTCCTTGATGCACAAAAGCAACAGACACCAATCTTGATTAATGCCATTCAGTTAGTCACGTTGTGTTCCATAACTTCACACGCAACTTTGTGCATTAACTTTACACACTCAGAAGAATGAACTCCGTGACTCCTCAGACTATAGTCGATTGTTAATGCTGATCTTGCAATAGTTTGCTGAGTTTTGCACCAGTTGTCATTATCAAACCAAAGGCAATTACTTCAGTTGCTTCAGAGACTACTGCAATGTTTTACTGCTGAGTACATAATATAGCAAAGAGAGGCAGTTTTCTCAAGTTTTTGCAGATTTTTGTTTTTCTAAATTAATGTCAGAATGAAAAATTTTCTAATAAAAGTACCAGTATGTCTAGAAGTTGGAACTCTGAATCCCTTCTGATGTACTTGTACTTAAATTTTTTTTTTTTTTTTTTTTTTTTTATTTTCAACAGCAGAAAATGTAACCCTTTGCCAACTTTGTAAGCAATCTTTAAAAACAGAAAATGCCATTGATAAGCATCTGTTACAGAGATAGTAGGAACTGCCGATGCTGGAGAATCTGAGATAACAAGGTGTAGAGCTGGATGAACACAGCAGGCCAAGCAGCATCAGAGGAGCAGGAAAGCTGATGTTTCAGGTCTAGACCCTTCTTCAGAAATGGGGGAGGGGAAGG